AATCTGACTGGTGTTTAAAAATACAAACTGAGAAGTCTACGTACAGGGTTCCTCTCAATGGCTGCCATCCAGAAACTTTTATGTACTTGCTTTCTGGCTAATTAAATTAAGAAATAAAGCCTAATGCACCTAGCTTAGAAGAGGAACTAACAAAAGGGAAATGAAACTTTGCACTTGAGTTTTTAAAGTAATGTTTGCCATTTTATAACCCTTAGTAAATTTCTTCACAGTTTTACCTCCTTGGCAAGGGAAGACCGGCTTGATAGTTCTGCTCCTCTCCTTTCCTATCCTGACAACAAATCTGTAGGCTCTGCAAAAAAGAAAGTAGAGGAATGCGGAGACATAAATGCTTGTTGGTGCTGCAGAAAATGTGAGTTTAATCAGTGCTGGTGTTCCAATGGAAAGTAGATAAGAAAGTATCTAACAGAAGAATAATAGAGGAAAAGTGGCTCTTGGAAAAGGGAGTGGACTGAGTGAGAGACAAAATAATATAAATAATAAATCAGGAAGATGAAAAATACACTGGTTTGGACAAGATTCTATTTCCAGTGTTTAAAATCTGTGTTTACACTATGTTTATTTTTAATGTAAGTTGATTTAGGATGTACCTAGATTTAAAGGTGAATTTAAGAGTGTCTTTATTGTCATTGATCAGTTTAACCCAACCAGATTTTAAAGAAAGAAACACTAGGGCCAGAGTTACAGGAGAACAAAGATAGTAAAGCCTGAAAATAAAAACATGAGAGGCATGCAAAAATACAAAAGAAAATAGTAACAGTGTGGCAAAGAAAAGGAGATAATAAAATTGTTTAGGTAAGTGTGAGAAAATGTAAAAATCATAAAGCATGAGGTTCTGTGTACTGTTCTGCATGTGGAACGTGTATGAACTCTGTTTGTTTGACTGAGAGCGTCTCATCCTAGAAACGCCGCTTTCATGCTCAGAGTGGAATGGCCAGGTTCTCCCAGTTTGCACTCAGTTTGAAAGCCCGTTGCAAAATAATGCAGACCCCTGTGTTCATTACAGCAAATGTGATGGGTACTTAAAGCTTATGGGTTGAATTGGTATAAGCCTGGTTTTGACTTGCGGTGCCTGATTTGTATTGTAAAATTGTGGTCTGTCCATGTGACAGTGGCCCGGAGCAGCCTGGGCACAACCGGTGTGCAGCTGGTCAGTGCAAGGAGCAGAGTGCTGCTCCTCTGCTCTTTCGTGAATGAAGAGAGGATGACGGCCTTCTGCACTCTGATAGCTGCTGATTTCTGTCACCTCATCCGTGTTAAGACCTCTTCAGTGTCTGATTATTTACCTGCCTGCTGTCTGAACTTGTAAGATCTTAGATCTGGCTTGCTGTCTGCTAAAGAATGTAATACCAGAGCTACCAGCAGTAGCCCCTTCTCTTATTGCCTGTGGGTCAAACACCAAGTTACGTGTAGAAGTTTTGCTTCCTTGACCAGCAAGGTTTGATTTGTTGATGTCTTGGTTATATTCCTGCCTTCTGCAGCAGAAGAGAGGAAGCAGGGAGAAGTTTGCACACAGCTCCTGAAGAGGAGGTGGCTACAAAGAGAAGGAAAGAATTACGGGGAGCTCCTGAAAGAGAGGGGGTGTTGGGTGTCATGTGAAAAGCTGCAGTGAGGCCGTAGAGTGGGCAATGAACTCGGAAGATCCTGTAGGCTCCTCTGGAGTAGGAGCAATGCCTAAGGTGCTTTCCAAAGGGAGTGTAGTTTCAAGACCAGCTGGAGCAAATTTGAGCTTGTGCTACTGTTGAAAGTGGAAGTTCAGCTTTGGGCAAGACACCTCTCGAGGGCACACAGCAGGGGAGAGAGTGGGAATGTTAAGTACCAGGGTGGCCACAGATCAGCTTCAGCTGACTGCAAAACTTCACTCAGAGATAGCAACAAAATCTGACATTTATCTGGTTAGGTTACTTTTGACAATACTTCTACAGTAGATATCTGTGCTGGGGTTTTTCTTCTCTCTTGATGGCATGACACTTTTCCTGTGTGGTGGTTTGTTGTTTTTCTTATGGAGTAGCAAAGGAGGAAGATGGTGTTTTAACTGAAGTGATTGTCAAATGTCTGCTGTTGTCTAGGTATTTGGAGATACATGTAGAATACTCCGTTGTGCTGAAATTAAACCTGTAATGACTGGAACTGCTTCACTTATTTAATTAGCTGAGGTTGTTTTTGTTTTTTTCCCCCTAAATCTCTACTTCTCCAAAATGCTGTGATTTCCCTTCTTCTTTCTTTACAGAATTCATAATAATTTGCTCTAAGTGCATGGTTTGTTTTTTTCACTCTGTTAGCAATGATTGTTTCTCTGTTAAATGCAATCCCTGTTAAATGCATCGGAAGTATTGTTTTCCTTAGTGGAAAAGATGTTTGATCAAGTGACTGTGCAAATGAAGGCAGCCTCATGTAGGCTACAGTATATAGGACGTGGCATTTGGAGGTTGCACGTGTTATGCCTGAAGTGCCAAGTGCCTGGCCGTGATGCAGATAAAACTGGCACTGGTTGATGCCAGCACCCCAGTGTGAATGGGGTTTAAGTCTTTCCCTATACTGTAGGGCCCTGAAAGAAAAGTATTGAAGGGAAGGAGTGCCAAAGGGTACTAGGTTTAAATAAGGAGCGCATGTATCACTTCTCTTTTATCTCCTTCATAGCCACTGTTCCACATACTGACTAGACCAGTGTGTGTTTGTGTGTATTCTTGTATCAGAGCAGAGGTTCCTGTAAGAAAGATATTGCTTTGTTTTAATAAATTGAGGGAGAGGGAGGTGAAAGAAGTAGCATAAAGTGAGAATATGTCAAATGGGATTGGGAACAAAATCCATGAGAATTTTTGTGGCAAGAATTGCGGGGGAGACTCCCTTACTGGTCTTGGCTATGATTTATGTAAGAATTTCTGCTTTAGGCTGGTTTTTGGTTTGGTTTTTGTTTTGTTTTGTTGTAGACCAAATTTTATAAGTGTTTTGTCATTTATTTCCCTCCATCTCCACCAGGTGTGATCCATCCCATGTGCTCAGCCTACTCTGGGAGGGGGAGGGTGGTGGTGTTGGACCTCAGCAGTCTTTCAGATTGTGACTCCTCTTGAAGACAAGCTCTCCTGTTCGTCCATGCCTTACCAAGTGTGATGGTGGTGCTGTTTAGCCTCTCCTGACACCTTTTCTTAATGCTGATACATTGTCAAAAAACACAGCCCTCCTACTTTGGAAGTGGGAATGCCTTTGACTTGTTTTCAGAAACTGTTTGTTGCCTTTGGGGTGGCTGCTGAGGAGGGACTGGAAGGTGTGGTCAGCTTTGTTTAGGCCCTTACTAGGTAGGTCTCTGACCTTGTGAAAAAAAAGCTGTAGGAACAGGCAAGGTGAATGACCCTGTGGCTACGAGAGCATTTTCTGTTAGACCTCAAGTAACATCCAGAGGTCTGTTCTGAAGCCGACTTGCAATAGACTGGAAATTATCTAGTCACAGCTTTTTTCTTCCAAGTATTTAAAAACCAACGGTCTTTGAAAACTCCAGTTTTGGTCATGAATGCTGCATAAAGGGATTTACTTCTCCTGAGACCACTTGACCACCCCGACCCTTTTGAAGAAGGAAATTCTATAAGAGGCATATTTTATTTGAGGATTTGACAGTATCTTCCCCATCCTGGGTCTCCACTGCTAAGAAGAAACCTGGAACAGCAGGTTCCTGCTGACCTTTAAAATGCTCTCAGTGGAAAGCCTGACACGGGGTTTGTTCCTGAGTGCCAGTGGGTGCCAGCCCTGAAAAAGCTTCAGAAAAAATTTAAGAGTGAGATGTGTGTGGAGGAGGTTGGTTTTCGTTATTTGCTGCAGTGATTAGGGAGCAGCTCGGGTGGGTGAGTGCACTGCACTTGGTGCTGGGCGCAGACCTGTGCTCTGCTGCGGCTGCTGCTGGGCTGGGGGCTGAAGCAGGGGATGCAGCTGGTTGTCCCTGCCTTTGAGCCTTGGCTGTGGAGCATCCTCCACACTGGGGGCTGCCTCCGTACGGTGTGCCTGGGGCTTGCTAGCCTTGCAGCGAGCACCTGCTGTGCTTGTGTTTGCACCCTGGCACAGCGTGCTGTGCTCGGAAGGCCTTGGGGTGCAGCCAGGGCAGGAGAGACACAAGAAGGGCAGCAAGGCAGCTGGCTGTGCACTGAGAGTCCTGTAGCATCCTGCCTGTTGCTAGGGGACTCATTTTGGATATGGAGCAGATTTGGTTTACATAGCAGCTTTCCCTGTGTTTGTTGATTGGAGGCAATTACTGTAAAATACTTGATTTATAACAAGGTGTACTTAATAAGCAACAAACTAAAATAAATATTCATGAATTACCTGCTGGAGGCTGGCTGTTCGTTTTGCTGAGTTGTCGCTTTCCATCTGCAGGCTCTGCAGAGCTCTGGAGCCTCTGGATGTCTGGAGGTGGAGGCAGCCATGCTGGGTCTTGGCTGGTGGAAGTTTTGGGCTGAAGAGGGAGGGGCAGAATTCCATTCCTTTTCTGTTTTGTTTGTCCTGGAGGATAGAGGTGTTTTTCTGAGGTTTTTCCAAGCAGCTCATTGGCTCAAGATGGTCTGCTTGCCTGACGTGCTGCTGTAATGCAGCACTTCAAGTGTGATCAAAGTGGTTGTGTGTAGCACATACGGGGTGCAGCTACCACATCATTGGGTTTGGGTCTGGCTTTTGTGGTGGTATAGGGAAGTGATGATGTAGAAATAGCAGTGTTCTTGGTTAAGTTAGGATAAGCCGATATGTTTAAGAAAATATGTGGGAAATGACAGATTGCTGGTTTGGGATCTATGCTCTTCAAGAACAGGACAACTCATTTAGAGTAGTTCTGAAATTATTAAAATAAGGATGTGTTAAGTCTTCCCCAGAGATGAAATGCTGTCAGCAGAAGTATGACTAACATTTGCTTCTATGTTGCAGAGTGGCATTCTTCTTGACACCCTGCTACCATAAATACTTTATTTGGCCAGTTTTACTAACAGCAGTTTGTTTTTATACAGGAAGAGTCTCTGGCGCTTGTCAAAATGAGAGAGTGACCTTCAGAGCCTGGCTTGGTATTCCTGTCACTGGAGCCTTCAGGAGCCAGCACTCAGCCCAGCTGAAGCCAGAGGAGGAAGGTGGAGAAGCACAGCCTGATCAGGTACTGAGCTAGTAATGGCAAAAGTTGTCTGATGCCAAGCTGAAGTTATGGATGATCATTAGTTATAAAAATAGTTCCTTAAAGGTCTTGCTAACGTGTGATGCAATAGTGGCCCAGTAAGGACAACCATATCATCTGTGGGCCTAGCACGGGTGCATATTATACGTCCGAGTTCTGTAACAGATCTGAGGTAAACATAAAGAAATGTTTTCTGGGGTATTTGATTTACACATCTAATGTGCAGTACACCTCAGTACGTGTTTGCAAACACCTGTTTCTAGGCTTCATGTGAGTTGGAAAGAATGGACTAGGAATGCTCTTAAAAAATGTTTGAATGCTGAAGAGCAATTGAGGGGGAAGAGTTTTTTTCCTCAGCTTTATTCTTTCTTCTAGTAGGGAGGCTTAAGCGCCAGCTTTTGAGGAGCACAATGTTATGTGGGAACCATGGAGCACAGAGAGGTATCAGCCCTGATGGGTTTTAGACAAAACTGACTGTCAGCTTGCTAACGTGTTTTTATTTGTTGAGATTTCCATAACTGTTCATGGAAATTGGTATTTTTTCTTGCATTCATATCTTTCATATTGTCATACTTAAGAAGATTTAGTTTGGCTCATCTTGTATGAAGACAGAGAAGTTAAAGGTTTTGATTTATTGTATTTGATTTGTTTTTGTGTTTTTTTTTCTTATGTAACTTTATCTTCCAGTTTATATGGAACTTCTGCTCTGAGGACCATGTTCTGAAGATATTTTGCATATTTTTACGTACCCTTAGAAATCCCTTAAGAACCGGGCTACTGCTTATGTGGACTTGGGTTGGCAGTGGCATGCAATTCACTTTTAGAGGGAAGAATTCTTTGAAGAGGTCGTATTTCTTTACCTTGAGTGATACTTTCTCTCCAGAAATACCAGCATCTGTGCTTAGACTGTCTGAATTTATTAGTCACATTTTTGTTATTTTTTTATTTACTGGCCCAAGTGGAAGCAGTGAGGATTTGTTTAAATAATCTGTTAAGAAAATTATTCCTAATGTTCTAGCGGTAATTTCCATCTCTATCTGACTATATCTTTCTTTGTGTGGTTAAAAAAAGGGAGTCTTTTTCTAGCAGGCATTGGGATACTTCGCTTTATTTTTTTTTTTTTTTTTTTTTTTTGTCTTGGGAAATAAGAACCAGCATTTATTTGATTCAACAACCAGCTTCCTGCTTCCCAAGGAAGAGATAGTGGCTCATTTGCCTGCAAACATCCCTCCTGTGGAGAGTCTTTGTTGGGGAGTTAGAGGAAAGCTAGCAGCTACTAGTGAAATAGCTGCATAGCAGGATGAAGAGGGATTATTGAAGCATTACTAGGAAATTCATGGCTGTGTGCAAGACCTTATGTACTCTACAGACAAGCTGACCTAAATTCTGCAGCCAGGCCTTACTGGTTTCTGTGTTGATGTGATGTGCCAGGCTGGATAACCTGCAGCAGATCTGGGGTTTAAAAAAACAAAGGGAGGGAGTACAAAAAAGACTTATATTTGAGTGGAAACACAGACAAGCACATCTTTAGAAGTGTACTGAATCTGTCTTAAATTTTCTTGTTGTTTTCTAACCCCCACTTCTCTATTCTTAGTATTGAGTACTTCTCATGTAGTCAGGATGAGTCTGTATTATAAGGATGCTCATTAGGAAGAGTGGAAAAGTTGTTTACTGGATGGAGAATACATGGATGATTTTGCTTATAAGAGGCTTTTACAGATGGTTTGGAGTTGAGGTAGGTTTTAGCAAAGAAATGGTGCTAAGCATCTTATCAGTAGTGAAATAGTTAACACAACTGACACTTTATCTCTTGGGGGGAATAGCATTAGTATCTACTTGACATAAATGGAATGGCTTACACTTATGTTTTCAGGCAACATTTGTTTCTCAAGATTATACATTACACAAAACATGAGACAAAAATCCAAATAGAAAACAAAATGTTACCTCTATCAAAGTAAAGTTGGTCAATCTGACCTGCTGCAGTGTTTTCTTGCTGTTACTTCTTGTAGAAGTGTTGTGACTTTGCAGTTTAGTTTCTGCTGGCACTAACGTGGTGTGATGGCAGTTACTGCTTCCTCCCTTCTTCTGCAGATGTAAGCTCGATTGATGCAATGCTCTCCTTTGCTTTCACACTTCCCACCTGCATGCTTTCATTACCTGATCTCACCACTTCCTCCAGAGGTGCCTCTATGGGTACAAGAGGAATTTTTAGGTGGTGCTGCTTAAACCAGGTCCTGTGAAAGAACCTTACACAGGCAGAAAAATTTTGCAGCCACTAGAAGGGCTTCTGCAGTAGGGTTTTTGCTGGTATAGTTGGGAAGCAAGAAAAAAATATTGGCTGATACAGTTAAATGAACAAAATGTTAAAGTATGGCTAGGGGCTTTCCTGTGCTAGTGTTCTGGTCTGGTTACTGTGATGGAGTGTGTGTGTATATTTGTGTCTGAAAACCTCTTTTTGTGGAAGCATAAGCTTTAAGCTCTTTTGAATTTTTTTAGAGGAATTTCTGCAGCTGCAGCATCCTCAAGTGCCAGGGGAAACAGTGATATCCTAAAATATTGCTGACTTATTTTAGATCATGTTTCACTTGATGTGCTTTTGATTTGTTTTAAGAACAACTTGTCTGTATAAGCTATTTGTTTACTATATGCACATAATAAGCAGCAGTGCCGACCCTTCTTCTGGAAGCAGGAATGAAGGGACCCAAGGAAGGGTGGATTTACTTAGTTAATTTGTGTCCTGCCTTAATGGCATTCTGGCATGTAATTCCTCCGTGCAATATAAGAGGTAGGCAAATCTGATGGATTTAATTGCTGTATATCAGCTCTCCATGAGTTAATTACAGAAATATATTGTTACCAAAGTCAATATTAGGAGGTAACCTGTCAGCTTGCTCTGATCTGTTCGTGGAGTGAGTGCCAGGTGTAGCTTGTGCTGATGGTCCTTTGTATTTTGTGTGTTTAAGCTGTGTGAGCTTGTGTCACAGGGTGAGACCTGGTGTAGCTCACTTATGAAAATCAGCTTTTGACAATGGCTACCAAAGGGCAGACAAAAGGTGGATATCCTGAAGAGCTGTGTGTTTTAAAGTGTCCCCCAGCTGGGGGTGTGTCCTGGGCTGGGGTGTGAAGCTTCCAGATGTATTCAAAGGGTAGACTTTCCTGGGTGTTTATGCACAGATAACTTCTAATCCAATACTGAGGCATGCTCCTGCCATGTTTAGGGGCTCCCTGCAGCTCTGCCTGCTCACGTATCGACTTGTGCTGATGCTGCTGTCGGCCGTGGTTGGCAAAGGGCTCGCAAGGGCTGAGGGAGGGAGGGCAGGGCTGCCCCTCACAGGCTCCATCCATCTCCCCAACCAACACAATGTCTGCTGTGTGCCATAAGGGAGCCAGAAGGCTCTCCAGGGACTGTGACCAGCAGAGGAAGCACCAAGTGCTGTCCCTGTTGCCCCACTTCCAGGAGCAGGTATGGTGAGGGGAGTGGAGGGCAAGGGCTGTTTCCCCTCTGTGTGTCTTCAAAATCAGAAGCAGAAATTAGTTTATTGACAAATAAATTAAATTGATTTGAATTTCCTCCAAAATGATAAACTGCTTTTTGCTTGCAACAGTGTATTGCCAAGGCCACCTCAAGGCAAAAGCAACGTTTTCCTTAGGTGTAGATATAGATGTCATTTTGACTGCTTCTTTGCAATGAAAAGAACTTTTGTGTATCTTGCTCCAGTGTTACAATTTTCATGTCAGATTATCTTTTCTTTCTTCCTGTCCTCCCAGTAGAATTTTCAATGTTATCCTTAGTTACAGAAACTGGAAAATAGCCCTACTTTGATGTCCTTTTCAGTGTTTTTGCTCTCATATTTCTTTGCCTAGACAGGAGAGTTGTCCGTTACTGATAGCAAAAGACAGTCCCCACAGCCATGTGTCAGTGAGCTGAGCTGCTTCCAGCCAGCTTGTCCTTCTGCGAGCCTGAACCCCGCCTGGCCGCGGGCGGCGGCACCAGCGCGGGGGAGGAAGGAGACGGCGCTCACGGGTGTTTGTCGGCGAACTTGCTATTGCAGAGAAAAAGCTGAGCAGGGTCAAAATGCAGCAGTGCTCTCTTTAAACCTTCAGTGGAGTAATGCCTTGTTGCCTGTTTTCATGTGTATAGACCTGTTTCCTACTGGATGTGTATCAAGTTTGGTAGGCAGCAGTAATCTTAGCCGTGTGTTTTGACACAATATGATGTTGTTTTGAAATATCTGCCTGCTCTCAGTTATTGTCTGGAATCTGAGGAGGTGTCTTTTGGATAGATGGGAAGAGATTCATCACATTCCTCCCTCAAGCTTCATCCATTGTCTTTGGTAGGTGATATTCTCTTGGATAAGGGAGCACCATCACAGAGTGCATGCTCTCTTGGAGGCTGACTATGAACACTGGAGCCCTAAGTCAGCATGGTGAGGTTCAGCATCAAAGAGTAAGGTCTGTCTGTCCTTCTCTGCACCTAATTTGTTTTCAGAGAGAGGTGAAACACTTCCAACAACTGAGAAACCACAGAAGAGATTGGGCTGGGGAAAAGTTGGCCTTTCCAACACCTAACAAGTTGTCTAGTAATGCTGTATTTGCACTTGATGGTAAAAAGGACATACTGTAAGATACTGGTGACATTATTGCCTGGCACCTCAGACAGTAATGATGGGGGAGAGAGATTTGCAAGGGAAAAAAATGAACAAACTGTTCTTTGTTGCTCAATTATTTTAGTGCTGCTGTGGTTTGGCTGTAGTATTGTGTTACTCTGTCCACAGCTTTTCATGGGCCTCTTTTAGAAAAATTTTAAATTTAAATAAATAATACATTTCTCTAGTTTTATTTATTATTTCACGTCCTAGAATATGCTTGTAGTTATAATAACATTCCACCGCCTCCAGTGATTGGATATATAAAATTCTGGCATTTGTTGCAGCAATGTTGAGCAATGAACTCCAAACTTTGTGCTTATCTGACTATGC